CACTCCCAGAATTACCTGCCACAGCAAGACTGCTGCGCTGCTTTACAAGTATGCAATCTCTACAGTAAATAGGGTTTATAGCATTTCTTATATGGGTGCTACTTACTCTTTCGTTTTATCATCTGAAATTCTTTTCCTTCCTCTAAAAGTGACTCCAATGTAAATGACTGATTCCGTTAGTTCTGGTTTCTGGTTAGTTTGCATATAACCTGTTTTCAGCTCTGGTACTTTCTCTGGCTGGGTGCACAGGGTTTGTCTGTGAACCATCACCAGTGCTGGGATAAGGAGAAATGAAACAGAGAGGGGGTGGCTCGCCCTGCAGAGGAGGGGCTCCCTTGTCCTTGATTTCCTGGCCCTGTAGCCCCTCAGGCCTGCATTGCTGCAGGAACAGAGAGCCTCACTGGTGGCTCTGAAACTACCTCTGACTCGGAACTTCTTGACATGATGTGAATTTGCTGACATGAGCAGCACCTGAAGCAAGTGGATGGGTCAGGACTGATGTCCTGGGCAGTGTGATACCATTTCTCAGGTATACAAAGCCCCGCCTCATATGAGCTTGAGGTAGCTTTCATCCTTCTTGGGTGACACCTTGTTCACCATGTTTAGTCCCCAGTGCCTGTGCTTGGAAAAGGTGACATCCAGAGAACCTTTTACCAGTAGCCCAGACCACACTCACGAGCTTTCTTGTTGAGAGTGGTCCTGGGGCCATCTCTGGGCAGAGTTGTTAAGTTGTTAGGCCCACCATCATCATCTTTGTTGTTGTGTGCAGTGCATTGCACCAGTTCCAAAATACCATTTGATATTCAGCCAAGAACAGTGTGACCTAGTCACTGCAGTGGAATATTGTATGGCCGTTAGTTGTGGTGCTCGTTAGGAACATCTACTCCAGACTCAGACCCACCGCTTCTGACTGTGTGACCGTGAGCAAGTTACTAAACCTCTCCAGCCTCAGGTACCTCATCTAAAAGTGGGGATGATAAGAGTTTCAGCCTTCTGAGGTGATTGTGACAAAAATTCACCAAATGTTCATGAAATATGTAAACCAGTAATGGTCACAGAATATGCACAGTAAAAATGTTTATTTTTATTAGTATCATCACCACCGTCACCACCACTGTCACCTCTACTCTGCAACAGAAATCCCAAGAGTTTTTGATTTGTCTAAAAACTATAGATTGGGGTAAAATCTCAAGCCCAGGTGCTGGGACTCCAAGAGATATAGGCTTCTTCCTCTTGGTCTTTACTCTCTATTTGCACACTGACGTAAAATATATTCCTGATGTAAAAGAGTGAGATAATACAGAAAGTTTCTCTTTCCCCATTCCTACCTCTCTCCTCACAGGTAACCACAGCACACTAATTGGTTTACATTCTTCCTGTCTGCTCCATGCAGGGCACATATATAAAATGAATATGCAGGGGGGGGGAAGTAGTTCAGTGGTAGAGTAATTGCCTAGCATATGCAAAGCCCTGGGTTTGATCTCCAGGACCCTACATACACACACATTCACTACTTCTACATTATGTGCCTCTTTGCACATAAATAGTAGTGATGGTGCCTGCCTTACAGGACTGATGAGGAGGTTAAAGCACTTACCATGGTGCCAGGACATAGGCTAGATTCCTAATAATCTTCTCTTGAACTCCATAAGATAAATGTAATTATCCATTTCATAGATGTGGAAGCTAAAGATTATGAAACTGGATTTGAATCCAGCCATATTATGCAGTGTTTGCACTACTTAATGTGGATATAGAACAGGAGTATTTCTGTTTGGTGGTTTTTCTTTGTAATGGTACTTTGAATTTTTTTTTTTTTTTGTACCGGGGATCAAACTCGGGTCCTTGCACTTGTGAGGCAGGCAGCAGAACCACTGAGCTAAATCCCCGGCCCATTTACTTCATTTTTAATGGCTGCATATGATTCAGTATTTCATTTAACGTCTTCCTTTTGGCGGGTTGCTTTCTGTTTCTTTGTTCTTTGCTATTCTAAGTAAAATAGTACTGAATATCCTTAATTCATATACTCTGGGGCACATATATGGGAGTATGTGGGATGGCTACCTAGAAGTGCAATTGTGAGTCAGAGGGTTATGTGCACATTAAATTTTAATAGATACCATCAAGTTGCCTTCCAGGAATGATTTTGGGCACCAACAGTGTATGAGAAAGTCAGCTTCCTCACATTTGTATTCTGTTTATCTTTGCTAATTTTATGAAAGGAAAAAGATTTTTCTAAACTGTATTTCCCTGATTACTGGTAGGATTGGACAGATTATTTTTTTGATTATCTCCATTTTCTCTGGAAATTGCCATTTGCCCATCTTGCCACTTATTTTTCATTATACACTATTTACATATTCTGAATAATTCTTTGCCTGAAATGTGTGGCAAGATTATTCTGTTATTTCTCTTAATTTTATGTCGAGAGATTTTTATTTTGTGCAGTGTTTGGCACAGATAGGCTGATATTCGTCTTTATTGTTTCTAGGTTTTGCCCTGCTTAGGAAAGCTTTCTTTCCTACCACATGTTTATTAAAGGTCTTCTATATATTCTTCTAATACTGCTACAATTTTGTTTCTACTTTAACTTTGTTTCTACTTTAAGTTTTCTAGAATTTATTTTTATATAGGTTACGAGTTAAGAATCTAGATTTATCGTTCTCTATGTTGAGAACTAATTGTTCTTACTTTTTTTTTCTTTTTCTTTCTTCCTGTGCTGGAAATTGAACCCAGGCAGGGCTTATAGTTAGGCAAGTGCCCTACCCTAAGCCTAAGCTATTTCCCCTTAACCTCACCGTTTATTGAATAATCCACTCTGTCAATTCATTTGAACTACCACCTTTACGATAAACTAAATTCTCTTGTAGTTGTGGCTGTTTCCTCTCTTTTGTTTGATTTATTTTCTGTTTCTATATGGGTATTCAAGTGCTTTCGTTATTTTAGCTTTACAATAAATTTTAAAATCAGGAAGGGACAGTTCCCTTTTTTGGGAATACTCTTTCTTGGGAAGAAAAGGTCTTTATTTGTACTTTCTTTTCTTCCATGTGAACTTACAGATACAATTTGTCAAGGTTTATAAAGCAAATGCCTGTGAGCATTCTGATTGTAAAAGCACCACAGGAGTAGGTCCATTTTAGATAAATCAGCATCTTTACGTTATTCAGTTTTTGCACCTAGAAATATTATTGCATGTTTCTATTAGAAATAGAATTATTTAGATCTCTTATGTCCATCAGTTAAGTTCTATAATTTTCTTTATGTAGATCTTACATTAGAGGATTTATTTGTTGCTGTTACAAATGAGGACCTGCTTACCCACCACATTTTTTTATGCTAATGAATGAGAAATAATAGTTTTTGTAATGTTAATTGTTTTATCTAGCAACTTGCTTGAGCTTTTTTATCAGTGATCATTATACTTATTTATTTTTCTTAACTTATCACACAGGCTAGTACCCAAACAATGTAGAATGATATTGGTGAAAGGGTACATCTTTGTCTCACTCCTGTCTTCAATGAGAACACTTCTGATGTTTTACCACTAAATATAAATGTGCTTTAATTAGCATGAAAAAATTTCTTTCTGTTCTGCTTTTATAAGATAAACTATGTTTTTCACCACACACTACAAGAGATTCTGGAGACTTTATTCTTTTACTTACATTTTCCTTAAGAATCCAGAGATTGTCCAGCCTGGACCTCAGCACTGACATCCTAGCTCAGCCATCCTGGCTTAGAACTGAGAATTTCTTTCTTCCTTCTACTCACATTTGACCCCAGATGTCTTAAGGACAGGACCTACTTCATGCTTCTCTTTGCACTCATACCTGCACCCCAGTCCCCCACAAAAATTTTAAGCAGCAGCAGCAAATGGACAAGAATAAGAGCACCATTTCTGTGATTTTCTGGCAGACATCACTAAAAAGGTGTCATTCCTAGATTTTTAATTGAAGTAATTTAATATTTGTTTCCCTCTTGATCATCTTAAGTAGCTGACCCCTGTCTCACGCTGTAGTTGTTAAAGGGCTTTTACAGTTTTTACAGAAGGGCGTGAGAATGAAATCAGGACCTGACTCTGACTTCCTGTTGTGGTTTTATGCAGGTTCAGAAGCAGGATGCAACCACTTCTAACTTTCTCACCACTGTCATTGCACATGGTCAGTGCAAAAGAAAGTTTTCATAGTTGATTAATAAAAATGATTTCATTACAGAATACGTTTGATAATTTGTAAGTGAAGATTTTTTTTTGCTAAGCTGTAAATGAAAGCATTTTTTGCTGGGCTTGCATTTGGAGCATGACTCTAATATGATCTGGCACCTGCCTAGAGAATTGTCCCTGTGTCCAGTGATGCTTTGCTTCAGGAAAGTCAGCACCTACAGTGATAGCATCTGTCATATTTAGGAATGTGAAATGCCACTTCAGTAAAATGCCTTCTTTGGAAAACTAATGTAAGACATTGGGAAAAGATTGATGTAAGCAGCACAAAGGAGAATTTAGTCTCTTTCTGAAACAGGAACAGTGGATTATGTCCTTTACTATGTTTTTTCTTACCTTGATGCAAGCTGAGTGGATTTTATTATTTTCTGATCATTGAGCCGAGAAAGCAAGAACCTGCCAAGCCAACATTAGCCTCCAGCATAAATTTGTGCATTCATGTTTTGAAGTGGCGTTATTGGGACATAAAGTGAACTCATCTCAGGCATGTGGTGTTTAACTGGAAACCATCCAGGAAAGCGTAGGTGAAAAGAAAAATGGAGGCCAGAGACACTGAGAAGCAAAGCAGCCGCATCATGGTGGGTGTGAGTAGCTGGTCTTCCAGCCTTTTCAGTTCCAGTGAGTTTGCCTTTAACTTCTAGGGTTACTGGTATAGGAAGTTTGGTCACTATTTTCCTTCCTCAGCGACTTCTCTTTTCTTCTAAATGCACAACTCCAGAAGAGTCTTTGAGCCATGACCGAATGGGTAGACTAAAAGTTCCCTGCCTTTTTTTTCTTGCAGGCAGGTGACAAACATTATCACCCCAGCTGTGCACGATGCAGCAGATGCAACCAGATGTTCACAGAAGGAGAGGAAATGTATCTTCAAGGTAAGATGGACTGGAGAACAAAGTACATTTTCTGTACTTGGGGAAAGAAATCTTGCTGTATTCATTGGATTGTTTGTAGAGAAGGAGACATTTTATTAGCTAAGAGGCTACCCAAAGCCAACATAAATATGGCCAAAAGCTACCTCATCGTCAGTTAGTGTTAACCAGCCAAGCAATTGACATGGTGGCAGTGAGCACCTGAGGCTGTTGAAGAAAGCTCTGCACTTGTGTTGTTGCTTGGAAAAAATGAATCAGACTTGAAGCTTGATACTGTGAATGTAAGGGATAAGTGAAAATCAGCAATTTCTCCTCCCCATCTTTCTCCAGGAATATGTTTGAGAAACAAAATATCAAAAACGAGAACACATTCCTAGAAATTTCTAGAAGTGCTGCTTATTTGATGGCTACATTTCCTTTTCCCTTTTTACTATTTTATGAGAAAGATTATCTGAAGTCCCTCCACTTACTATTTCTCTGGGCTTTCAAGAAGAAGAAAACCTCATGTTTGATGAATTACATCACAGACACATTTCATCCCACTAAATGACATGGTTCATACTGAAATAGAAGGAGAGAGAACACACCCAAAGTCCCTGAAAGAGAAATTAAGCAGTTTCTGGTGGCGTGGAAGTACTCATTCCCAGGGAGCCCATAGACTTTTCTTAATTGAAAATAATTTTGAGAAATGTTCCTAGAGTAAAACTATGATTTGTTTTTATCTCCTCCAAAATTCCAAGCTTCTTGGAAAAGCTTTAGGAGTGAATTCTCTTCCAGTCAAATGGCACCATCTGTGCAAAGCATTTTACTATTTTTAGCTGGGAAAAGACTCATTAATTAGATAAGGTTTCATCAGTAAAATTAGCAAGAACTGTTAAGAGCAGTTGCTGGTTGTTTGGGTAATTACTGGCTCTCAGTTGTCTCTGCATGTCATTTCTTCATTCCTTGTTACACATAACACTAAGTGTATTTGCAATGAATGGTTTGCTTTGCTCCGCTCTGTTTTGTTTTTGTATAACTAAGAAAAGTCTATAAAAATGACTCAAGTGTTAAATCACCATGTTTGCTACTTTGTCTTAAAAATGCTAGATAGGTGATAAATTGACAGCCTAGTTCTTTCAGCTTGAGCATGACTACTCCGAAAAAATGTGACGAAAAACACCACCGAACGTTGAAGCGCTCTGTGAAAGTGACAAGCTCCGCCTCAGTGGTCTCATGAGGGCTTCAGAGACACATTTTCCCAAGAACAGGCTACACAGCTGCAGTGCCAGTAGGAAGTGTCACTTTGCATATGGCTGCACAAGCAGATTGATTCTTCCTGATGTCCCCAAGCCTGCTGTTAGACTCAGTGTTTTAATTACAGCTCTCCCAAAACAGACATGGGAGTGAATGTCAGTCTGTCTGCCTGGCCTGAGACTCGGGCTTGGGTGCAGCTCTCTGCACATTCCTGGTGGTTCCGGAAGCTGAAGAGACGGGCCCATTTCAAACTGCACAGATCCCGCACGTCGTGAGATAGGCGTGTTCAGAATTCCAGGGGTCATTCCAAGTCTCCTTTAGGTTTGTGCTTTGCTGCCCTTTGCCTTCCCTCTCGCACATCCCTGCAGAAGGAGTAGTTTCATTTTCCAAAGCATCTGATGTTTGCTCTGAGTCCCATTCCGGAGAGAACAATGCTGACATTGTGTGCAGCCCCTGGGTGTGTTGGACAGCGCCTCTTGCTCCGCCTGCAGGACCTCGGCAAAAGTACTGCTCTCCTGGCCTGGGCCTGACCCCTCGCCTCTCCACATTAAAAGATTTCCTGTGCTTTGTAGTCAGCCTTCCAGCCAGTGTTAGTGCTCAAGGGTCTCATGTTTGTCTGCGATTTACTTGTTTGATTTTCCTCCTTTTTCTTTTCTTTTCTCCCCCTACCCCAGTCCTCAGTGAAACAAGGTAGAAGTGATTGCTAAATAGAAATTAAAGTATTCGGATGTAAAATGTATTTTCTTGCTATTAATGTAGTGTATTACCTTAGCTCAGTGGTATAAAGCAGTTCACGAGTTATTTTAAATTGGTGACTTTTCAAGTACACACAGGTTACTGTTTGAAGAGACAAAGGCTGAAACCATGAAATGTAGAAAGACTGATGTTCATCTGAGACTCTATTTCTGTCGTTTGCTCACTACTTTCCACTTAGCGACTTTAGTGGCTTGAGTCTTTCCAAGTGCTCCCTCCTTTCCTCCGCCCCACCCTTCATCTGAACAAACCCTCACATGCACATAGGACTCAGTTACCAGCCTGGTACATAGTCATGTAAATGGCATGTGTTACATCTGGTCATATAAAATCACCTGAGCAGGCAGTGGATTCTTGATCAGAGCTGTCTTTTGGAAACAAATGTTGTTCTTAATTCTGTGATGCTGAGACTACTCATGAAAGTGCTTCATAGTCTCAGAAAGGGAGACTGTTGAAGCAGGAACAGGAAATAACATCTAAATAGTCACTCCACTAGTTGAAAAGCAAAGACTTTTTAGCTAGTTAAAAGATTAAAGGATTTATAGTGTAACTTTAACCTACCTGACAATTAATATAGTTACCCATGTTGGTGTAGATGACTGTAGAACTGCATCAGTGAAAACAGTCAGTTTTGCTTCTGCATATAGACAGTCTAGCTTGGTTTTCTCTCAACTAGATTGCTTTGTTGTTCAATGTTCTGTAAATATGGCTTATTATTTCTGACATCAAATGCAGCTTATACTAAGCACTCAGACGTTACTTTTGAAGGACAATAATACGGTTTTTAGAAAACCAAAGCTAAATATCCCTTTCATTAAAACAATCTTGTCCCCAGTTAGTGGTCTCTCTGGTCCAGAGTTATGATCTTTATATAGAACAAGCTTGGGTTAGACAAAAATATTCACCTAAAGTTTGGGGTTGATTTCAGTGTCATAAATCACTTGGATGCAGGGCTGTCGTGGGTTTCCAGTGATGGGAAAGAGGAATCTGAGCCACTTTCAGCAGTTCGGGAGAACGGAACGATGGCATCTTTCCATCTCCGTCACACTGTGCCTTGTGTCTTTCCAGGTTCCACCGTTTGGCATCCCGACTGTAAGCAATCGACTAAGACAGAGGAAAAGCTGCGGGTAAGGAAACAATTAGAACCATGATGCCAAGTGCACTTGGAGGCCACATGCTTCAGAGTCACTAATTCTTGGGGCTAAGGTTTGGGTGAAATTATTTTTTGGCTAACTTTTTCCTCATAGGAACCCAAATTTAAAGGCCATTTGACCAGCTAATGTAGGCCCCTCTTTCCCTGAATTTGTTGTTGTCATTTCTTTGTTCTAAATGCTTCTGTTGAACAAAGTAAGTCTTGCCTTGTCTGTTGGCTTTCTATGAAAGCATTTAAGGGAAAAGTCAACAAAAAAATGGGGAAAAAATGACCCATCAAGTTCTACATTCAACACCTGGTGACCTTCTTGCCAGACTTTTTGTGCTTAGCCCATGAAGCACTGATTCCACTTGAATTCTACATCCATTGCTCAGCTCGTCGTACGTTTTACTTTGCTCTCAAATCCAGATTGGCCAGAGTACCATCTAACTCCTAAAACATAAAATTTAGGAGAAAACAACGATGATCCCTGATGTGTAAATTGGTCAAAGCTCAGAATACCGCTAGATGCCAGTATTTCATCTGGTTTAGAAGATGTACACAGATATTCATGATCATAATCTGGATCCTGTTTGGATGTTCCTAGTTTTTCTCCTGAGCTATGAAGTATTTTTCAGAGGATAATCAGATTGAATCCCAGTTTCTTCTTTTAACTAATTTAGTGGCACCTGTGGAAAAACTGGAGTCTGCCTTCCTTTCACCTGGCACCTCAGGGGGAGGAATGAATGGTCTGGATTTATTTTGGAGCCAAGACCCTGGTGTGTGGAGTGATTTCTTCTTGACCTGCCCTTAGTAGGCATGTTTATATGTGGCATATGTAGTTCCCAGCAGTGCACAGTCGGTTTATCCGTAGGACCTGATCACTGATATGTAACTTATGAAGGGATGACTTGACTTTCAAGAAATGATTCTCAGATTTTTAGATCCCTATGCCTGTCACCCCAGGATTGCTGCTCTTATTGTCTAGTGTCTTTTATGTATTCTCTTCATTGAAGCACATGTATGCAGAGTGGGTTTTTACCCACTTGGCTTTGCTTTTCTTTTTTCCTTCTCAGCTGGCATCTGTAAATCAGATGGAGACATTTTGCCATTTGTACATCTTAGAGACTTGTCCCTTGCCTGGGACCTTAAGCAAAAGCAGTTCTTCTAACAGTCACTATTATGATAGCAATGTTTAACTAGGGGGAAAAACACTTTTCCTGAGAATAATTGAGTAAAGACAAGAGTAGCAGAAGAAGAAACTGTCCACCAATACTAGAGTGGTTTTGCTCGGTTTCAGACATACAGCTTCAGCTTGAGCATGTATAGTTGCTCCTGAAGTTCATCAACCAGACAGACTAGTCTCTGGGGATTTAGAGGAACCATGGATGCTTGGGAAACAGGTTATCTTTGTAAACTATAAGAACATTAAAGGTAGTACTTATTGTCATTTTTCCCCTAAGTGTGTAGAATTCAAAACATAGCTTGAGACAGCTGCCCTAAAACCACCCAAGTAGTCAGTAATTTGTACTCTTTCTACAGTGTTCCTTTTCATTTTTGAGGGTTCATTTTTACTTTATTCCCAATCAAGTATTTTCCCTGATAAAGAAGGGAAGGCTAATGAGGCCAAGACTGAATGACATGCATATTTTTTCCTCTGTGAGGTTAGCTTGAATTTGTGAATCCTAAAATGTTCGTAAAATGTTTTGAAGAAGGAAAAAAAAACATACTTGATCACATCTTGATGGAACTCTCTGGAGAAGCTTATGAAAACAACTTGTGAAGTATTTCATTCTGGCTAAGAGGAGCTCTTGTTTTGTTCCGTAGTAAGCATTCCAGAGCTCTTATCCTAATCTCAACACTTAACTACGTGGGAGGTCAGGTCACCCTCCGCCCTCTGGCTCACTGTCATTGGGAAACCCAGTAGTGAGGAAGATGTACCTCACAGGGAAGAGATTCTACGTGCCCAGAGTTGGGGTCTGGGTTGGTGGGACTTAGACAGGAGTAGATTTTGAGTGGAGGAATAAGTTTTGTGCTCCCTCAAGGGTGTGTCTACACACACAGATCTTGAGCTAAGCTTTCTAAGCCTTTCACCGAATGTCACAGTAGAGCAGTTTCCATAGCAAAATGAAAATGTTTGAAGAATCTTTGAGCAACTCTACTGAGTAATCCACATTCTTGATACTTAAGAACTCATGGGGCGTTTGTAACAACAGATTCTTAAGAACACATCTCAGTTGACTTTATTCCCTCCTTAATCTTCATATACTATAAATACATCTTAGCCAAAATAAATGGAAAGGATTCAGAGGGAAGGGGATGGAGATAAATATGCTATAATTTGCATTAATGTGCATTTCATGTGGGCCCACAATTGACCCAAAAACCTGGCACAGGCCCATCAACTAAAGTGATGTCACTTGCTGTTTACTATCATATTAATTTTTCCGTGGGTTTTAAATTTTTTCTAGTTTCTGAATGAGGATCTTGTTTATTCTTCCCTCTTTTCATCTTTTATGGCAGCCACCAAACATTCATCGTTCTCCATCTGATTTCTTTTATCCCAAAAGTCTGATTCGCCGCACAGGACGGTCTCCATCTCTTCAGGTTGGCGCAGTGTGGGGGCTGAGACTAGGAGTCGCTGTCCTGGCCCAGGCTTCTGTTGTTCGTGTGTTGCCCCCTCCCCCATCCCCCCACTCCCACCCCCACCCCAGCTGCTTTTCTCATATAACTTACTGCAGCTCCTGCAAAAAGCAGATGCTTTCCTCACCCAACGAGTGTGCCTCACAGTCTGACTCAGGCTGTTTTCCCTCAGAGCAGAGGCTGAAGCATTGTCTTGATTCAGCCCAGCACATGGGACTCTGTCATTTGGTCCTGCGTGCCCACATCTGTTCACCAGGTATGGTGCAGGGCTGGACACTGTATATCTAGCCTTGTAGATGAACCCAAAACAAGTAATGTCCAGAAAAGACAGAAATCTCACAGGACATGGGTTGCATAGATCACATGCTTTGGAATGTCGGATGAGGGACAGGTCCCAAGGGCACTTCGGAGAGGAATAGTCTTGAATTGAATTCTGGAGGTTGGAGGAGATATGAACGTGTGGCGATGAGGAGAAAGGGGTGAGCCCCATGAAGACACAGAAAGTTGGAGCTGGGAAAGCAGTCCCAGGGCAGGGTGTGGTTTGTCTCCAAAAAGGAACTGCGAAGGTGGTGGGGGGCACAAATGAGAGCAGGCGCCCACTACGAGGAAGCGGTGGCAGGGGGTCCACCTGCACTCTCATTTGCTCTCCTGAGAATTCCTGTGAGGCAGACCACCCTATTCCCATTGTGCAGATAAGGAGACTAAGAGCAAGGCCCACCATGGTTAGATAACTTCTCCAGAAACACCACACCAGTGAGTGGAGGAGCTGGGACTGGTACCCAAGTGTCTGTGAGCCCACAGTCCTGTCCTTCCCACTCTACATAAGGGGACAGCAAGAGAGAAACCAAGGGCACCACCAAGAGGAGAGTCTTCAATGCCAGCTGAGGCCCTTGTCTGGGTCCGGAATGGCTAAGAGGAAAAGAACAGCAGGACCTGGCCAGGGCACCCTCCAGAAGCCCACGGGTGGGGTCTAGCAAAGCAAGGCCTTGTATTTCATGCCTGACTTCGCCTTCTTTGAGGTCCTTAAGAAACCAGTAGAAACTTGGGCCTGTTCGCGTGCCGCCACACCAGCCAAGATGAAACCCACTGGGCATCCTTGCTGACGGCCCCGGCCCGCAGTGCAGCCCTGTGTCCGCGCTCTGCACCTGTGCCTCCGCCGAGCCTGCCAGAGCTGCGCTCAGGACGAGAAAACTTTGGGTTCCCATCTGTTTTCATTAAAACATCACGTTCTTTCTTTAAATGAATCAAAAGATAGAAGTGCAGAATTCTAGAGGGGGAAGAAGCCTTTTAGGCATCAGCTCCCTCATTTCTCCATCTGGAGAAGAGAGCCAGACAGATGGAGCTGCGTCCCCAAGGCTGCACAGGCCTTGCCCACAAGACCACCGCAGACTCGGGTTTGCAGACCTGGGCCTGGTGTTCAACCGCGGTGGTGCCAATGCCCTCCAGCTTGGGCTTGTGTGGGATCTCCAGCCTATTTTAAAGCCCAGCTCCTTTGGCAAAGTTCCCACACACAGACAGTGTGTCTCATGAACCCACAGGAGCAGTTCAAGATGATGCTCCAAGGGCGGTCTGCTCAAACCTAGTGCCTCTACCTGGCCGGAAGTTGCTGTTTTAGTTGTTTTTTTTCTTTCTAATAATGAACTCTTAATTAGTGTCATATTTTGTTTCCCAATTGATGTGTTTTCATGACTTGAAGAAAATTATCATCATCAAGTGTGAAACTGTTTTCCTTTGCTTCAGACCCTTAAGAGATTTGGGGGAGAGAGAAATCTGTTTTGAATAGCCTTTCTTTCTGTCCTGTTGTTCAGAGGGGACATCTGATTCCCGTTATCTAGCCATAAATATCAATGAAGTCAACGTTAGCTCCACCACAGAAAGTTGTCAACAGCTTGGGAGCTGGCAGAGAGAGGTGCTGTTTGTGGAGACCTCCTTTTCCCACTGGTGACGAGGGATGGGGGAAGCTCACCAATACTCCGAAGCAATGCAGGCCTCAAGTTTTGATCTCTTAAGTACTTTGACCTACACAGCAGCTCTTTTTCACGACATAAAATTAAGCACTTTTAGTTATTAGGGAATTCACTCACTTCCTTTTCAGGGACGGTCAGTATACTGTGCCCCAGAAAAAAGTCCCGATTTTGTTGGAAATGAAAATTAAATTTATGGAAGGCAAGTTAGTTTATAATTTATGTTCAGAAAATATTCCTTTTTATCCTCTGAATTGCAGGTAGGAGAAAAAAGATGAAAATAGAGTTAGCGTACAGAAACACATTCTAGTTTTACTTCCTTGGGAAGAGATTTTTGTGAATGGCAGTAATTTTTATCTCTAGGTAAAAGTCAGTACTGAACATTTTT